AAGTTCAATGAACATTTAGAATTTAATAAACGTTAATTAGTATGTAATTTCTAAAATTTCTTGAAATAACATTTATTTAAAAGCGAAGCGTTGAATATTTGCTCCATTCAGGTAAAACTTGTTTAGTTTCGTAATTTTTACAGTCTTGTATGTGTAATACACAAACACCCAAGCATACAAATGCATATATATATATATATATATATATATATATATATATATATATATATATATTGCATAGATTTATTTCAAATGCCACGGCGTACATCTTTCAAATAGCAATGGAATTATTTTACATATAAATCGAATTCAGAAATACATGTTTCTGAATATGTAGATATTAGAAATATTATATATATATATATATATATATATATATATATATATTCTAAAGTATGATGTAATCTCAATAATTTATAAAATACTGAACACTCCTATAACCTCGTTCATGTTTATATAACAAATATACATTTATTGTAAGTTTTTATGGACAAAATTATATTAACGTAAAATTCATTTTTGGATAGCGCATGGCATAAGTGGTGATATATCAGCAATCACAAAATTCAGAAATTTCAAATTAAAACCCACATTTGGCATTCTATAATCTGCTGTAAATATCATTCATTTCCTTATAATTATTTTTTGCTAATAACTATAAGGAAAATGAATGGTTTCTATTTATGACGATTCTTTAACTTTTTTGCATTAATACAAGGAAGTACTGTTTTACATGAAAACAATATGATCTATAGTTTCAAGTAAAAATGGATATTACTACTGCTCAACTTTAGTGTTAGAAGTGAGAAAAATAAGTCCGATTCCAATCCGCTACCCCCTTTACAGGGATAGTCGCCACTCGGTGTAAAAGCTCAATGCCATGAAGATTGCCACCTTCATGACCACTAATAAAATGAAAATACGTCCGAACACTATTTATATGTGCTTAACTGGCTATGTGTGATGCATTTTTAATAATTTTTAAAATGAATAAATATATTTATTCATATAGCAAATAATGATAGAAACTATAACTGTACCGGTGTGGGTGACATTGCATAAATAGTATATAAAGTATGTGACAAAATTAAATAGTGCAAATCTGAGGAATCTTACATGACAACATGTAATTTTCTTATTAAACGAATTATGCTATCACAATCTTTGTATATATATATATATATATATATATATATATACATATTATCCATGTGTATTTGAACAATTTATGTTATTATTACCAAATTTTGTCATTGCAATCATCCATGTAGATAATCAATTTTAGAAAATTTAAACCTTCAATTTGTAGCATTGCACATATATTAATTTCATATATATATATATATATATATATATATATATATATATATGTATGTATATGTATATGTATATGTGCAAGTATTAATTTATATTTCACATAAAATTGCATCGTCTCAGTCTAATAACTTTGCGACTTTCAAATACTCTCCTGTAACTTAGCAATATTTATTATTTATTGCTAAAGTATTGGTTTAAATATGTTTATGGGAAAAGATAATTGTGATCACTTTTCTTTATTGATTAATATTGAAAGCGTCAAACCATAATCTACGCAACTGACTAATGATGGTAAAACTTTCATCGAGAGAAAATAGAATAATTGTCCTGGTGGAATTTTCACCATTTTCATAATATAAATAAATACCTAAGAAGGCGTCTATTAATCACGTGATTTTTTTTAAAATTCCAAACATTTTCAAAAAAAATTAAAATTCTACAATTTTTTATGTAACTAAAAATACACGTGATGTTTGGAGGGGGAGGAGGTAATTTTGAATATCACCACGTATCACCAAGGAGGAGAGGGGTCCAAAAATCCTCAAAAAGTCGATCACGTGATTAATGGACGACCCCTAATATATATTATCACATGAGAATGTGTTAATTAGAAATTATCATAGAATTTTATCTATCTGGATTTTTTTTTCAATTTGGAACAGAAAAAAGAGCATCAGGGGGTATTCTAGTATAGAAGCATGGTTAATAATTAATCATTGTAAAAAAGAGGCAAACAATTTTTATCATTTTTTACAGCCAACCAAGCACTACTATTTTTTCTATAATTTATTTATAAATGTTACAGAAAAAAGTAGAAACAGAAGAGTTAATATTTTAAAAAATTAGCAGATGCTGAAGTGGGGAGGTCCCAAAAAATTGACACGTGATCATGACAACGATTGCAGCCCTTCTGGTAATCCAAAGTGAAAAATGAAAAATGATTGCTAATCTAGAATTTTATGAGCAGGAATTATTTTTGCTCCACCACTTCAATTTTTAGAAGTCATCCCAATGATTTCATCCCAATGTTCTTTTTTTATAAATTTTATATTAGAAAGCAACCCAGTGGCTATTCATTGCATTTAGATATATTTTATATAAGAATGAAACGCAATGGTTGTCCTATCTAATAATGATGATATATTTCATTTTATTTTCAGTAATTTCTGAACGGGCTATTTTTACTTGCAACATATAATTTCAAGTGGAGGATATCACAACTGCTTGATATCGAGTTGTTAAGAGAAGATCTTACCACGAAACCAGGAATAATCTCAAGTGAAAAATTATTATTGAAATGAAATCAGTATCATATGCGGAATGATAAATAGAATAAAGTATATATAGTTAAATGCAGTTTTGAGTCCCTCATAAAAATACTGATTGTAATAAAGAAATTAATGCTTTCTGATACTGATCTGATAAAATTGAAAATGTACAACATAAATCAGGATTGGAAAAGAAATAGTAAAGTAAAACTTTAGAAATATGTATATACATATGGGTGGCCCTTAATATGGACATTTTTAATTATAATATGGTAAGGTACTTTATCAAGAGATATTATCAGATATATGGACGTAATATCCACATGTTATAATTTTACAATAGATCGTTAAATAACTAGTTTATACTTCTGTTATCTAAAAACAGAAATATGAAAAATATTTTTATAAAAAAAATTATCACACATGGCACATTTTTACGCACACTCAGATTAAATATAACAATTATTTATAAAAATGTCATTGTTATTTTTATTATTAGATAACTTTATACATATATATATATATATATATATATATATATATATATATATATATATGATGCATGTGTTACGATGTTAAATTTGGTATGACGTGAAAGTTTGCACATTTTAGATATGGAATGGTTTTTGAAAGTTATTTGTTATTTGAAGTATCTATTATCAATCTGTATATATATATATATATATATATATATATATATATATATTTACTGGCTTGTATGTTTATTTCCAGAATTACAGAGTGTATTAAATGTCGTAAATTGATTAAATCTTCATGCATAATTGTATTATTCCATTGCTGCATTTGAAATTTATTCGGTTTGGAATTTGGTTTACTAATCACGATTTAATCAAAGTATAATTTTGAATAAAAAGTATCCATCTGTATTTATGATCATCCCGCAATTTGATGATACTTTCAACTTTAATATTGAAACTGTTAAAAACTAGATTATTTTTGAACTATATATAGAAAACAAAAAAATGTGTTTATTATTGAAAGAAACTACTACTTGCAACTAAAATTAAATTCTAATAATAAATCATCTATTATCATCAAAACTAATTCTATTAAATTGATTTCACACTCTTGCATTTTATAAACGATTTATTACATCTTATTTCAGCAATATCTCAAAGAACTATTTTCAGGACAAAAAATATTATACTATTTGATATCATGCTGTCCCAATGTATGTTGTATATTCAATATTTATTACAATTATTATAACTATATCTGTTTTTACATTCATTTTAACTGCTACTATAGTAGCTTTACAAATTTTGTATAAAGGATAAGTTCTTCTAGAAGAAACCTTAGTAGGATTTTGCAACCTTTTTCGGGCCAAATATTGCATCTATCAATAAGTTGAACTGCATATAACTAAGTTGACATGATGCTATCCGAATATTTCTGAATTTAAGTTATAAAAGTCATTTTATAAATTCACTTTAATAACGTTTTGAATGACAAAAAAAATTATAAATTCTATTTCTCAATTTAAGAAAAACCAACCGTTCTCTAAAACCTCATCAAATAAGAAAAATTTAATAGTGTCGTTCTGCATGGGTATACTTATTTTTTTTTTTTGATTTATTTTTTATAGCAAGCTATACAAAGTACATTCAGCTACATTTGTTACAGTTATTAACTTATGATATATCAAATTCACTTATAATTCTTATATCTATACAAAGAGGTAACTCATTGATACCGTCTTACTACTTCAGATATCAATTTTTTTAAATTTTTGAAGTTTGAAAATACTATTATTATTATTTTTGATAAGTCTACAAAAGTTTGCTTATTTCAAGGCAAAAATAAGTGAATCACAAGATGGTCATCAATACTAGAAAGGAGACGAAAATGCACTAAAAATAAGAAGTTGAACTTTTTATATGAGCATGTTGCATTGCAAGCAAGATTTTGTAAGAACAAGGCTCTAAGGCTTTAAAAATGGTTTCAAAATGCAAAACAAACTTTTCAAGACTAAATAAAGCTGTAATAATATCATTTTTATATTTCTGCTGATTATAATAATAGGGCAGATTTACGATTATTACCATGCATTCACCAAGATATCAAAATAGATAACCAAAGTTATGCATTGAACACGATGCATCTATAATACTAATTATAAATTTGTATGTATCTTTAGATTTTAATTCACATAATAATAATAGCAATAATGATAATAACGAAAATAAAAAATTGTACGAAAAAGGGTCGATTTATAGAAGTTTTATATAAATTGTATTTTGGCACTAACCTACGAACTTATCTTAAAAAAGATCTGATAATATAAAATATTTAGTTCTTAACAATGTATACATATATATTTACAAAATATATAGTTCTCAACAATATATACATATATATGCACAAAAAAATAAACAAATATAAATTTATTCTTACCTTGCTAAATTCTAAGCTGCAATTTATGTGCTCAAATTTATATAGTTCATTTCACTCATAAGTTGTAGTCTTTATTGTTTTAGTTAAAAAACGGTTTAAATATGTAATTATAATTTATAAATAAATAACAATAATTTACACATTCATTTATATATATATATATATATCTATTTATTTATATTATAAATGCAATGTTTACGGAAAAAACGGTCTGAATTACATATTTTACGGAATACGGAATTTTTTAAATTTTCTGTTTACATATAACGCTTTAAATATTTTCATAATCGTATTAGTCATTAATTTTTACTGATTATTTCTGTATTAATATATTTAGTTAAAATTAATTAATCTATTAGACAAATTTATAATAATAATTCATATAGGTATAATTAATTTATTTTAATAGTTTTATAATAGCGTTATATAATTTATTTAAAATCATATTTTAACGACGTGATAATTCAACAAAATTGAAAACGTAAAATTTTTAAGGTAAATGTGTTCTAATTAAATTGCATTTGTGAATTTAAATTAATATACATTGAGATTTAATCAGCCAAAATATATTAAAATTTTTTGTTTAAGAGTAATAGATTTAAAATTATTTAAATTAAAACTCGAATATATGTATATGCAGAAATTTATCGTAAAAGTTACATAAGTTAAAAATCAACATAAATTAATATAAAAAAACTTAATCAAGTGGTTTCCAATCTGTGGGACGCAAGGGGGTCTTACAGTTATTTTCAAAATAAAACTAAACCAATATAATTATTTTTATACTTATTTTGACATAATATTTTATAATATTTTTTAGCCTGATAAATAAATTATAATTTTGATTGAGTATTTATAAAATTAGATTAGAAGCAAAATCTTCTAATAAAAGAGGGCGGGGGATAAAATTGCATAATTTTTTATAAAGGTTGAAAACCACTGCCTTAATCACTTTATGCAAAAGAAAATTATTAAAATAATATAAATTTAGTATTTATAAAATGAGATTACTCGAAAATTTAAGGGGGGAGGAGCAGCATATTTTTTTCAAAAAATGACCTGATGAGGGATGAAAAGGTTGAAAACCACTGCCTTAATAACTTTATGCAAAAGAAAATTATTTGATAGTTTTAAAAATCTAATGGTACTTTTTAATATGAAATAAGAGATTTTTTTTTGGGTAAATTGAAGCAAACTTTATATGTTTAGAAAGAATGATTAGCTCGTCCAAAAGTTATACAAGACATGGCTAAATGTAAATAAATATTAATATTTAAATATAAATTTTCAGACGTTTATTTTGAGATTTAGGAAACTTATCAAACGTATCAAATTATAATGTTATAAATTTTAATAAGATAGCATATAACTTTTGAAAATATATTTAGTTTATATTTATTTAGTTTAGTGCTGTTTTAGATATATTTAAATATGTTTATGTATTTAGCTAAACTCAAATATTAAGAAAATTTGATTGATTAAATTAAATTTAAATTAAAATTTAATTTTAATAATTTTTATAATGATTAAAAAGAGAATTATATTTTTCTAATTTAATAACATTTATTCATCATAACTAATTGCTGCTGTTAATAAAGTAAAAAAGTACTATCAAAAAATGTACCAAAATTATTACAAATTTAGAAAAACTCAAATTCCAACTTTTCACAGAAACCAATTCAAATTCCACCAGATTTTGCATACCAACAAACCTTTTCACTACACTTCCAAGTAACTTCACAAAATTAAGCACAATTTTCCAATTAAATTTTTCAAATAACAAACAAAAACAGGCTTAAAATCCAAAATTATTTCAAGAAACTCCACACACCATGTCTTCGCAAAGGTAAGATGATAACTGAGAACCTATTCTCCAAAACTTGTTTAGTTTGCCAGTTCTCTAATAAGTGAACGTTGCGTTTGTATACAATTGTATGGAGACTTGTGAGTAAAGAATATTGAACGCAATGTAAGTCGTGTGCGTTAACAGAGTTTATAGGTGTTTGTTTGCAAAAGGTATGCTAAGGTATTTATTGCATTTTGTGATAATGAATTTTTTAGATGACAACAGTGATTGCAACACCCACGATTGAAAAAAAATTGAATAGGAAAATTTAATTTAATTAATTTTTTTTTATTTACATTTGTGAATTACAATCTGCCGTTCTTATACAACATTCAGTAATTTTGATGATTTATCAAATAAAGGAAAAAAGGTCGAAAGGTCACTCATTGGTGATCGATTCGATGTTGGATATGTTTAGCTTTAGATGTAGTCCTGTTGTGAATGTTGAATTAAGGACATTTAATTTATTTTTCTAACTCATATACTGCTGCGCACGCACATGTTGCGTGAGAACGTTATCAATAACCAGGCGCCAAACACAATAGGTGAGTTTTCCTGTACTTCAGTAGTAATTTTAGAAAAATAAAATGTTTAAAATGAAATTTTCATTATAAATAAATATATCCATGACTAGTAGTATTACTAGCAGTATCACCCACCCAAGAATAGGCAAAGAATTTTGCCTAAAAAGCATTAAATTAAATTTATTAAACAAATTAGAAAGTAATTTACTATCTAATTAAAATCGTAATCAATTCGATGGTTCAATCCCTGCCACAGGCAACCCTGATATCAAGCAGTTGCTATATCAATTTTCACTTAGAAATATAGATCTTAAAAATGCTTCCAAAGGAAAAAAACTTTTCCCAAACATTGTTGCATCAAATTGAATCATAAGTCAGCCAAATTAAATCAATTCTAATAATGAAATAATGATCAAATATGGAGGGATGAACCGTTGGATTGCCATCTAAAAATACGACGTAAGGAGAAGTCCCAACAGCATCTATATAACGCCAGGTTCTTATTGCTGTTAAAATATGAAAATAATAAAAAAATATATATTTAATGCCTCCAAATTACATGTTTAAACTGTTTTTCTAGATCTACAAAGCCGCCAGGACCCGCTTTTCCAAAAATTCAATCAGTTCTTCATCCAGCCAATACAAATGAATTGTTTTTTGAATCATTCAATCATTCCAATTTTCTCAAAACCTGAATTGCCATTTTGCCCCGTGTCTTCGACACGGCTGAACCTCCTTTTGCAACAACTAATCAGTAAGTCTATTCATCAATAGGAATAGAATGTTTTTTGAATCTATCAAATCTTTTGATCCGTGCTATCGAAATCGTCGACGAAAAATTGTATCCGCACATACATACATGCACACCCACAAACATGCTCATACATCCATTACTTTGCTCATAAGTTTAATTTCCGTACATTCTAGATCCTCCCCCACAAACCAAAAGGCGGTTTTCGTGGAATTACAGGCAAAGTGGAAGTATTAGTGAAAAACAAACTCATACATCAATTTTTTCTAAGAAATGCCAAAATGTTCAGAAAACTTCCATGCATAAAGATATAAAAAAATCATTTTCAATTTTTTGCGATTACAGTAACTTACACTACTTATAAACAGGAGCAATATTAGAATCAACTATGCATTAAAATTATATTGTGGAAAAATGTTTTTAAGTGTTCTAGAAGCGCCTTTGCAATAAAATTATCATGTTTATATTTTCCAACATTTTTTTAAAGTTCTGACTTTCACATGGCTTTTGCATTGATTAACGATGGCAAACTTTTAGTGAAAAAACTATTTTTACTTGAAGATATATTTTGATCTAAATTTTCAAGATGGCTTTAGATTAGATTGTCTAAAAAGCAGATTTTTTTCTCATTGTTTTGAATAGTAATCAGAACTTAAGAGTCCTATAAGCCGATTTGACTGAATGCTACGTTGATGTTACATATGGTATTATGGCAGTGACAAATTTTATCATTACAATTTCTGTAATCGGGCGAATATTTAATTGATGCAGCAATGCCGGATGAGGGCTATTTTCACTTAGAAACACATTGCTACCAATATTTTCAAGTAAAAACTGATATCACTACTGCTTGACATCAGGCTTCTCGAAGCAGGATCGAACTAGGGACCTCTTGTTGGGATCCAGTCGCTCTATTTTCACACCAATGAGCCCAAAATGCAGGTTTGAACGCTAGTCTTTGCCACCAACCACATCAACACGAACACTCATGTATTTATCTAGATCTATTTATATGAATATACCTGTATAGACAAGTATAAATGTTATTGAGGTGTATCTTTCTATGTTTATCTTCAGTAGAAAAGTTCAAAGCTGCAATTATGTTCGCATTCCAAGCAAAGTAATAAATAACTATTACACCCATGCACAACGATGCTATATCAGTATCGCATCTATTGTGTGAGAATCTGCATTCCTAGACACGAGTAAATGCTGATCCACGGGCGATACAGATAAATCGGTTTTTATAATTATATATATATATATATATATATATATATATATATATACGAGGTGTGTTCAAAAAGTACCCGGAATTACTAACAATTAAATTTCGCGGGTCTGGAGTGTCTGATTGTCAAAATTTTTTTTTTATTGTGTTGGTATACATGCCCCTAAAGTATGATGAAATTTTCAGCTATATTCACTGTTTACTTTGTCTGTGGTAGTCGCTAAGGTTCGACGTGTTTTTCTGAGCTCGGCGATTTTTACAATGGAAGAATTGAAAAGTCAAAGAATTTGTATTAAATTTTGCGTAAAAAATGAAATAAAGTGTTGCAAAGTGCAAAAATTCACCAGATATGGCTCCGTGTGACTTTTTCCTATTCCCAAAGTTGAAGAGACCCATGAAAGGACGGCGGTTTTCCTCGATTGAAGAAAATCGCTGAGAGTGCTCAAGGACATATCAAAAAGTGAATATCAAGGGTGCTTCGAAAATTGGAAAAAACGCTGGCATAAGTGTATTATATCTGGGGGGGACTACTTTGAAGGGGACCACATTAATGTAGACGAATAAATAAACATTTTTTTGAAAAAACGAAAATTCCGGGTACTTATTGAACAGACCTCGTATATATATATACTGAATAAAATGGAAACTCTTACAAAAATATTTTCTTCATGGAATAAAATGATTTTATTTTGTAATAAATTCATAGCTATAAA